TTCTCACAAACTGCTACTCTATGGAACCGACTCCCAAGCAGATGCTTTTCCAATCTCTATAATCATAACCTGTTCATTTCTAAGGTTAACCATTATCTTCCCCACATATCTGCATAAACTGTGCCTAATACTCTGTAACCCTCTATGTTGAGTGGCTCTCTGACCTTGTACAGGGGGAACATCACTGCAAAAAGAAACATCCTGAAGGAAGACAATACATAGAAGATAAACTAAGTTGTGCATCCTAGTTCAAATATAAAGGCATTTAATAATGATAATTCTTCATCTTAAAAGTTCAAGCATAAGAGAAAAATTTTTTCTTTATGTTTTATTTTACTTATTTTTACTTTCATTTTTTGATTTTATTTTTTGTAATTTTTTATTTTTGATCATCTTGCCCACTAAATTCACAAATATTTTATATCTCTTTATTTCTTACCTTTATATTCATGTAGAGATGTAATATTTATTATTTATGTTAATTTCTTATATCAAATATCTTTATATTTCAGTATATATTGACTATATACTGTGAAATATGATAATGATTTTTTTCCATTGTGATATTTTATGTTTAGTTTCTATTCATGACATACTAAGTTTAAATTCTAATAAAGAAATAATTTATAATATCTCAAAAAACAAGATTTTTAATAAATTAGAAAAAATAAAATTCTCAAGTATGTATGCTATTTTTAAATTTTTGTTGCTAAATTATCTAATTTCATTTTAACTAAATTGCTTGGAGACATATATTAAGAGAAAAATAAATGGAAAATTTCTTATTTATCACATATTTATTGAACAATATATTTTTCACTTGTTCTTTCATCTTTCAGGCAATTTCATACTTCTATTCACCTAAAATACATAAAAGAATTGCTCTAAGTGTCTTTTGCAATCTTCCAGGGAACTGAATTATTTTTTTTATTAAGAGAATTTTGTAAGACTGGAATCAATGCTAATTCAATATTTTTGGTGAATACAACAGATGAGTGAAACCATCCTAGCTAAGCTGTAACAAATTTTGTCTAATCAAAAAAATCTAAGAACTTATGTTCTCCTGTTGGAATATTATGCACTTTCTCTTAAACAATTGTAGACATTTTTCATCAATTGCTGCTTTCAGTTGGTCTAATTGGAAACAGTACTTGTTCAAATAAATCATTTAGTGCTCTAGAAGGGGCTCATAGTATCATCTTTCTTGTTATGTAGACTGAACTTCAGTGGTGGTTGAAATATCATTAGCTCTACAATCTCTTTTCATTACCCATTTCAAAACTGAAACACATGTCTAATCTAGCAGATATTCTTGTTTAACTTATCTTGAAGTTACACATCAAATCAACTAAAATAACTGAGCTTGTGCAAATGATTTTCAATACTTGATTTGAATACTTTGGTACTACTTAAATCAACTGGTCCACTTGTAACAAATAAGTGAAAATTTTCCAGGGAATGATTTTGTAGATTAACAATCTTTAGACCTTCTTCAAGCTGCGACAATTGTTAGAATTGAAAAAAATATTGATTTTTTTTTAGCATTTTAGAAGCGGGTCCTATTTATAATATTGATACAGTGTTAAATCAATCCCTAACTTTTACAGAATTTTATGTCATTGATATCTGCATTTTTTGTTATACTTTTGTTAATTTATGTAAAATTTTGTTCTTTATTTAAAAATTTGGCACTACTTTAAAAATGTATACACCTGTTTGTTCTTTAATGGCAAATAATTTTTTGGTAAAAAATGAAAAAAAAAATTTTGACAAACAATTGTTTGATTAAAATATTTTCTTAAAGTAAAATATATAAATGTATATATCCTTTTGTCCTTTAATTAAAAGAAAACATTTTGCAAAATAAAAATTGTCTGTTTTTATATGTATATATCAATGGCATAAGCACTTTTTTGAATTTGATATTTGTAAGATAATATCTAAGTATGGATAACTCTGTAAAAAGTCTAGGATCAATTTTACACTGTAATAATATTATGAAAAGAACCTCCTTTTCTAAAATGATAACAAATCAGTAATTTTTTTTTCTTATTCTGACAAGTATCACAGCTTGAGGAAGATCTAAAGTGTGCCAATCTACAAAAATAATTGCTTGGAAATTTTTTTGAGTAAACTAATCTACTTAAATAGTGCTATCTTCTAACAAATGGATCGTTAGATAATATTGATCATTCCCAAATAAGTGAATGACTGCTATTAACCTGAACTCTAATATCTAACCAAAGAGCTTTTTTCATTGAGAAATTGCTAACAGAATCATTTGCAAACCACTTTTGATATGCTCAGTCATTAGCAGTACCTTCTCCATAAACTACACAAATGTATTTCAGTTGCATTTTTACCTTTCTACAAATAAAAGAAGCCTATTATGATGAAAATATTTTTTTTCCATCTTCAATGTTAAAATTATTAGGCAGCTAATTTTGACAAGTTTTTAAAAAATGCAGAGGTATGACAGCATTTATAATACAATCAAAAATAAAAACTAAGCCACACACAAGTAACATTTATTCAACTCAAATGATACCAAAAGGGCAGCTGAACGTTTTCTAGAATGAATACTGTTAGATAATATATGGTATATACTTCACAACCACCTGTTTAAATGGTGAGTTTATTGATCAAGACTGAAAAGAGAATCTTGTTTATCTAATCTTACATAATGTATGGTCCCATATTCAACAAATCCTTTTTAAAATAACAAATAATACTTGATGCTGCTTTGTCAGACAGGTAGAGCCTCAAGAAGAATCAAATTATATAGAGAATTATTCCAGCATAAGTTCATTGTTTTTCTTCTAAACAAAAAGAATCAAATTTTTGTTAATAAACAATATTAGTATGTACTGAAAAGTTCTCAGCACAACCAAAAAGCCCTTCAAAAAAAAATTGGTTATTTGGCTAGATTTTTGGAAGGGGATCAGACTGAGTACATTTTAATGTCCTCTCATATATATATTTAAAAAAAAAGAAAAGATATTTTGTCATGCGTGGAACATTAATATAAAGAAAGGAGATTATGAAAAGATGGTAAGAAGATTTGGGTGTGTTACAGACTTCATGAGACTATGGAACCCAATTGTCAACAAGGCAATGTGCAGGCTGGTGATGATTCCATAATGGCATGGTATGTATCCACATGGCATTGCAAAGCTCTTCCTAAATTTGTCATTGCCTAGTGACCACTATATTGCACTGCTTTGTGACTATTTGCATACATTCATGGATTCAATGTAACCCAAGAATGATGGCTTATTTCAACAGGACAATTCACCATATAATCAAGTCTAAGTTGGCCAGAATTGGTTTGAGGAGTATTCTGAAGACTTCCAATGAATGGTGTTGCCACTATGTTTTCCTAACATAAACTCAACTGAGCATCCATGGAGCATGATTGGGAGATATATTTACATGCAAGTTCTTGCACCTAGAAATATTAAATAGCCTATAGACAGGTATCAAGAGGGCATGGCTCAGCATCTTTCCACTTGTTTTCTGATCTCTTGTGAAATTGATGCCATATTAATTTGCTTTTGCTTTTGGCTTTTCTAGAATAGTGTTCTACATGATATTAGGCTACCCATCTCATGACTTCTGATCTGTTGGTGTATATAGGTTTAGATATCTTATCAGTAACTAATATAGAGTTATTTCTAAGTTTAATCACATTGAACTTTTTCAATGAATAATTTGTAACTTTTATAGGAAATAATGTCTTGAATATTTCCAATACAATTCATTTTGCATTTTTTACACTGTTCTTGTAAATTATATATTTCTTGTTTTATATGTTATTACTATTTTTGTAGTTGTATATTTTTTTAAAACATCTAGGAACATGTTTTATATCTGCTTGAATTTATGGAAGAAAATAATTGAAATTTTTAAGTTAATTCTATAATGCTTCTTTTAAGCTTAAAAAGATTCACTTTTCATTTAACAATTGAGATAATCTTTTATATTGAAAACCTATAAAGCAGAAGTCATCTTAGTCATAATCTTAGTGAAGTTTGCTCAAATCATCATAAACTTTGTGTCAACTAACTCCTCAGTGGATTATCTTCAGTATAGGAATTTTATATAGTATTCTTTTCAGAACATCAAATTGATTTTGAACTAACCTAAAATATTTGGCCATTTTCTTATATTTTAGAGCAAGAATGAGTCTATAAAGAATTTCTTAGAGTAACAGTGTTATAATTTTAGCTATTTCTGTGTTTAAAATATTTTTAGAGGTTTTTTAAATTAAAATTTTTTTTTTAAAGTTATAAAGCAGAAAAAGTCTTCTCCAATTGCTAATGAGGATTTTAGCTCTATGAAATGTATATTATATATATATTTATTTATTTATATATATATATATATATATATATATATATATATATATATATATATATATATATATATATATATATATATATATATATATATATATATATATATATATATATATATATATATATATTGTGTGTAACACTATTCTAACTCTTGGAATGAAATCTGTGAAATCATGAATGACTGTCTCGTGTATTTAGAGATTCATGTAGACTCTGTACATTTATAGGGAAAATTTTGTAAAAGAAAATAAAACATATGTTCATTACTGCGAAATAAATATGCTCCAAAATTGAATATTGGATATAACAAGATTGATCAGGTAAGTATTAACCTAAAATGATAAAATATTCAATAAAAAATTTCCAAGTGATTTTTCTCCTAATACTGGATCACTCTAGAGAGTCAGAAAAATAATTATATAATTGCATTATAATTTTAAATACATTTTCGTATCATTTTGACTTTTCAGTGATATATGTTTTTCATTGAAGTTTTATAAAATTTGTGTATACCTTTTGTTGATGCATTGTTAACATCTGCAGTATTCTGTTCAATATGTATTTCTATTTTACATTTTAAACATATATGTATAAGTGTGTGTATATATATATATATATATATATATATATATTGATGTTTAGATGAAATCAAATGCAGCCACTAAGATTCAGGCTGGTTTTCGAGGCCATCAAACCCGTAAAAAGCTCAAGACAATGAAGGTAAAATAAGTTTTTGGTGTGCCCCATGCTAAGTGGCTTTTCCCTTACCAAATACCATTTTTGCTTGGTTAAAATGATTTTGTATGTGTGTGTGTGTGTGCATACATGCATGCACATATGCCACTTAACCTCCATATGTTCTTACTAAAGATTACATCCTGCAAACAGCTGCTTACTTAGTGTGTGTTCACTTTAGGATGTCTATTTTTTACAAAAAAAATTATTTTACAACTGTTTATATATCTTTCGATTGGGATTACCACACATTCCATCATCCATTTTAAAATTTCTATCTTCTGGATCTGGCTCTTCCCAGTGTGCTTTTTGGTATATTTTCACAAAAAAAAAAAAAAAATGTTTGTTCAAGCTGAAAAAAATTATTATTAAAAAATCTCACAGTTATGCTTCTTTTAATTAACTGTTACCACTCAACACTATAATTACACATATGCCTTTTCCTGCTTGCTGGTATCTCCATATGCATTCACTGTATATATTAACACTGTTATTATATCATGCTTTTAGCATCTTAGATTTGGCATGGTGTTGTATTTCTTTCATGTCATTTAGAATTTGCTGCTGATTAGTTTTAAAAACAGATCATCACCTGCTTATTTGCTTCATCCAAGTTTTCTGAAAATCTTGTCAGTTAACAATTTTCCTAACAATAATTAAAAATGCTTTTGTAGCAAAATGCTTTACATCACATAAAAGAGGTAAGATGTATTATCAAGTAAGAATTGAAAAGACAGGGGAAAATGTTTTGTTTTAAACTCTAAAGTGTGAATAATTTAATCCTCTGTCCTTTTTCAGGCTACATAATTTGATTCATAAAGTGCCATTATGCAAAGAAGCAAAAGATTACAAATTACTTCAGAAATATAATTTTTGGCTACATGAAATATTTATAAATCACTAATTCTAACACAATAACAACTATAGAGATAAGATGTTCATTCATGTAGACAAAATGTATTAGAATACCAGTGAAACTATAAATTTTAAAATCGTGATCCCATTTATAATAAAATAGTACTACTCTTCCATAATCATCATCATCCATTTTTAAGAGAAAGTATTAAATAGTTGCAAAGATCAAACTTTAAATAAAATTATCTGATAGAATGAAACTTGACTTAGGTTGTTATAATAATTTTATTAAAAGTACTGTCTTCTACATTTTATAAGAAAGATAAAAGGAAAGTTGAGAAATTTTCCAGTAATACTTAGTCATTTCAAAAAAAATAAGATAAATAAATAAAATATTAAGAAACTAAAGAAAAAAAGAAGCAAATTGTCATAATGTTCAATAGTTGTATTTGCAAGTCACTCACAATCACTACTGACAAATTCCATCTCCCTCATAACTCAGGTTTATAATTCAGTTGTAGAGATTGAAGAGTTTAGATTAGTTTCACAGAAACTCACTCTCTCTCAATCTCTACTACTGAATACTCTATTCATGGCTATCTCCCTCTCTATCAAAAGGATCCTAGTGTCCACATGCATAACCTTGCTGTCTTTGTTCATGAAAATCTCTCAGTGGTAAGGGATGAAAATAGCAGTAGAACAGCAAGAGGCTAACGGTACTGAATTTTACAAGCCAACTCTTCCCCATTGAGCTGTGCAAGCAAGTTCAGATGCCAGGTTCTGGTCATCTAGATGTTGCAATGGGGGATGAGTATTCAACAGCAGTCTTGTAAATTGGACATGAAGCTGACACCTTCCATAGACTTGAGAAACATTTCTCATTCATGCAGCAATCAAACAATTTTGCCAAGATTGGGGGATAGCTCTGGGCTAATGTTCTTAAGAACAACTACAGGAATTTTATCTAAGCCAGTAGCCTTTGTACAGTCAAGGCATTTTATGTTTGGAAACTTCCTGAAATATGTTTAAGTTTGTGTTCTTTGAGAGGGGGTAAGTAAGGGTGAGGATGACCCTTGTCTAGCATGGAGTTAGAGGTAAGAACCATTGCAAAGATTTTTGCCTTATCTGATGCAGATGAGATAACTGTGGGACTATTTATGATGGATTTGACTGTTGAGAATCTCATTTGAAATTTTGAAACTCATAGGATCCAAGTTTTTTGTCTTCAGTTTTGGCTTGAACTGCTTGTATATAACTGCTTTTAAAATTTTATAAGACACTCTCTTGCACTGATTGTGAGCAGTAATGAAAGCAGTAAGAGTTCTGTTGTACCCAATCATTCTAATATAGAGATGGCAATAATATTTAGTAATCTAACTAGGGCTGGTTATACAGCTTTTTTTTTTTTTTGGTACTTTTTGTGGAGGATGAAACTTTCCATGCCTGAAAGGGTTCATTCTGAAAAATGCTAAGAGGAGTGCTTCAACAATGTATTGTGTATTGGCAGATTGTCCTATGAAATGAAATATTAAAGAAAGTCTGGCATCAACTTTGACTGACCAGTGAATGGTTTGAGGTGCCCATGGGCAATAACACTTGAACAGAACATTTGTCATGAGAGGAGGTGGGAAAGAGTTTTAGGAAGTTCACATAATACCCCACTATATCAGAACAAAAGTAGGCTTATCCACAATCCTGACCAGTTTGTATGCTATGGAGAATTGATTGCATCTATCAAATATCAAGTAGAGAATATGCTTCTTATATGTAACTTCTTGAGTAGGATTATGTCCTCTGTTGCTTATATATTCTTAGACATTGAAGAATTAACAATATGATATAACTCTTCGATAACAACAACCACATATACAAGTATATACCTCAGATATTTCAAATTTTATCTTATTGATGTACCTTTATTAGTTTTGGCAATAATTAAATTGTTACTTCAATAGGTCATATTTTTTTTCAAATAAAAGTAATAAAATAAAAGAGTTATATTCCTTACAATATGTCCTCTATCTATAGAACATGCATTGTGAGTCATAAGTCTCTATTTTAAATCCTTATATAATTTTTCATATTATATAGCTACAGCTTAAAAGAAACCTAACCATATTATCCATTTGGGAATATTTTGAAATAAATTCCAGAATACTCTCTTTAATATTACTTAAATGACCCTGAAATGTGAGGCTAAAAGGACACATATTTGAATAATCAATTTAGATAAGCCTTGACCTGTATAGCTTACTAGAGGAGTTGACATTCAGTAAACTATTTAAATATAGTTAATATTGTTCATTCAATCTTCATAAGAAGCAATCATAATTGTTATTGCATTTCATTATCATTTTATAAATATTTTACTTGCTCAGCATAAAATGAGTATATATATAGTTATATATTTTATGCATGAGACATTGACATTTTTCTATTTTAGTGGAGGTATTTTATTAGATATAACTTATTATTTTCCCTTTTTGCAAAATGATATTAAAATATAGTCAGTTTTTTTCTTATCTATACCTATTATGAAACTTCTCTACAATCATCCCAAGACTGTATACTCATTCAAGAACAGTAGTGCTCATGAAGATATATGAAATGTGATTTTTCATCATTTTTAAAAGTTTTTCTTATGATTAAAAAGACCTGATTTCATTAAAGAAAGGATATATACACCAAAAATTATAAGGTTATTTGACCTTGAGAAATGGTAGACAAAATCTTCATACTTCATTCCAAGCTTTTTTCAAATAATTTCAGTACTATAAAACTTACATTTTTTCACTTTCTCATTTTCCAAAGATTGCATTAAAAAAAATAGTAGATATAAAATAAGTAAATAAATACCATTTCAGATTTGGCATTTAATAAAAAGTTGAAAGTTTCTCAATTTACAATAAAAATGCAAGAAAACTGCTAACTACTTCACTATGTCTTATAATCCAGAATCACTGTTAAGCCACACTTTGAAAAAGGATATAATATTAATTAATCCACAAGTTGAATGAGTCAGCATCAAAATAACATTGAAATTGGAATTCAGTTTTCAATTGTGAACTACTTGATCATATGATTAACTAATGGAGAAAATGAAAATGCAATATCTCATTTTGGACTAGTAAAAAGTGTCTATGTAGTAGGAAAGGAGAAATTGAAAAATCTCTGTTGCAAGGTGGCCGATATTGCAGAGCATGTCCAAATTAACTCAAGAATGGTAGTAGAGTATTTAATTGTATGAGTTATTATTAAAGAATATTCAGAAGAAAGTCACTCAACCAGTGAACATTAGGAGAGAAACCAATGGGTAATTGAAATGATGAATTAGCCCTTGAAATTTTAGCATAGTCATAATTTCAGATTAGTCTTCATTTGATCACTCTTCAGACAATGGACAAATATACATCTAGAGATTAGATAGTCATGAATTCTATTTGAATCATTTTCCACTTACTATGAAAAAAGGTAGATTTTTAGTTAGAGACGCAATTTGAAGCACTGGAAGTTCCAACCTTTTATAGGAAAGTAAATGAATGCGAATTTGTACTTACTTTTAATAGTGTCCAATGTGTATGATTAAACATTAATCTAAACAGCTTTGTTTGCTACTGTAGGACTATTTATGAGTTCTCTTATTTTGTACACTTGGACCCTCCTCTAATGTTAGATTTTCAAGTAACGGGGCGGGGGGGAGTAATTTCAAATTTTTATCAACTATGTTGCATCTTCTGTTTTTCTTCATACCTGTACTATATCAGTATAATCCTGACTGATTTCTTGAACTGTAACTCCAGTTCAGTATGTGTTGCCCATGATTGACTTGTGTATTCTTTTTTATTCTTGAGGCACTTCTTCAAATATGACTTTGCACAAAAGCAAGAGAAAGCTCACGGCTCATCCACTACTTGACTATATGCCTCCAATTCATACACTTTACCTTTCTCTGGATAAGAAATGGTAGGAGGTAATGTCATGATAGTGAGAGTACCCAACACATCTGCCTTTAATTATCCAACACATTTTTTTCCAATATTCATCCCCTGATAATTATTTGAACAAAAGCAGCACCTCTTTCATGCCATACAGAAAAAGGCTCTAGAAAAATATTAAATGAAGTGATCCAT